AGAATAAAACAAAATAGGAAAAACAAAATCCACGTGTCACAACCTATTTGGAATAAACTGAAAGTAGCTTCAATGAGCAAATCTATATAATACTTCAGAACTACACATAAAGCTGTAAACCACAACTGAATCAAGAATCACCAGTAAATTTCATCATGGTTTCAATATCAATCAAAATCACAATTCAGTAAGAAGAAATAACTCTAAATAATGCCATACATTATAAATTCTATGCAACATGCATTTTACATGAGGAACCACCAGATCAAGTTTGAGAAATTTTGAAGAAAGATATGATAGGAGTTTGTAGGCCTTGTGCCACAAGATGAGATTACAGTGACTTAATCACTGCTCTCTGTACAATAATACAAAAATAAAAAATTCTATACAACATGCATTTTACATGCATGTGCATACTCAAAAATGCACAAGCACTTGCATGTTCAATTGGATAAAAAAGAAGACACATGCACTGACAAATACATGCCACCAAGAAGAATAGAACTTGCCTGAGGTAGCTTCTTATCGTCATCTGAAAGCATGCCCATGGCATTCCAAAAGATGATTTCAATGTTTGTTTTTTCATCATCGTCATTCAAATCCAATTTTGCCATCTACAATTTTTTCAAAAGAAGGATGAGGACTAGGTACTTGAAGTGTATAAAATAGAGAAAAACCAAATAAATGAGAATAACACATATCCATATCGCATAATGCCAAACAGGTAAGAAGCCACACAACTTAAAATTGAAAACAATTATTAGGTAGTTAAAGAGATAATTAACTTCCTCATTTGCCTTATAACCTGTATAACAAACATATTTTAAAAACAGGCTTCACAGATGAAAACAGAAGCCTACCTGTGTTGCAAGAAATTCACATTCCTTTTTACTGAAGCTGAATATAATCACAGGATCATATTGACGTCTAATAATCATTTTCACCAACTTGAAGATATCACTATCTTCGCCAACTTTCCCCACCACTAAACCCTTCTGTAACTTACTACTCTCTCTTTTCTTGTCACTTTCAGCTTTAGGAACAAGCGCATTTAAAGCTCTCTGAAAGCTATCTTCCCGAAACCTTCCCCTTTCATCCACCACCATGTACAGACCGTCACCTCCAGCAGGGAAAATGTAATGCTGAAGGGGTGTTGGCCGATAATCGGTATAAACAATGTGACAAGGCTGCTGGTGGACCTGAAATGCATAGACTCAAAATAATCAGACATGTATGCATCACAATAAACTAAGTAAACTTAATCAACTTTGAATGAGTAGCCTAACAAATAGGAAAAGAATTGAGAACTTTTTATTAACACATGTGCATGACCTGGGTTAGCAATATTTAATGGAATAAGAAAGGAAATAATACTTGGAATTTTGAATCTAAACATAGATTTAGTAGGATGGTAGCATGATTTTTGATTTCTTGATCTAGCTAATCTAAACCAAAACTCACATAAATGTTATAGGGACTAGACGAGATGCAACTTTGTTCCAGACAAAGAAATTGAAGCATTAGTGAATCACCTTAGCGACCCAATCAGCAAATTCTTTTGCATTAGGCACAGTTGCTGAGAGAAACACAAATCTAGAGTTTTTTGGTGCCATGACAATACTCTCTTCCCATACGACACCTCTCTCTCTATCACGCATGTAGTGCACCTCATCAAAAATAACCCAAGCAACTTCCCGTACGATCTCAGATCCTCTGTAAAGCATACTGCGCCAGATCTCAGTGGTCATTACCTGAAAAACAAACCATCTCTAAGGAGACCATAAAACAAAACACACACATATTAAGAATGTTGCAAAGAGACTTACCAAGCACGAAGCATTGGGCTCAATTGTTACATCTCCCGTCATCAAACCAACATCAGAAAACTCTTCTTTAAACTCCCTAAACTTTTGGTTGCTGAGTGCTTTAATTGGCGAAGTATATATAACCCGCTGCTTATTCTGCAGAGACATAGCAATGGCATAGGATGCCACTACAGTTTTCCCAGCAGAAGTATGAGCTGAAACCTGAAAATATAAAGCAAGCTTAAGCTCAAGCTACGAGATGCCAAAATAAAAAAGGACCAGAAAGCATAAAGCTTTGTTCAAGTGACAACATACCATGACGGACTCGCCATTGTCAAGGCACTTGATAGCTTCAGATTGAAAAGGGTCAAGAGTGAAGGGGAATTCCTTGGCGGGTTTGGCGTCAGCTGGAGGTGAAGGGGGAATCTTTGGAGCATAACCCTCCGGGTAGGAGACATCATGTAGACAGGCCAGGAGGTCGTCAGAGGCAGCCGAATCATTATCCTTTTTCTGTTTGAGCGGCGGAGAGGAGTCAGCGAATGAGCCTTCCGCAGACTTCCTCTTCGAAGAACCCATTAATTAAAATTAAATAGTAATTGCCTCCCTTAAGTCTTCTTCTTTATGAAATCTGCAAAGCCTAAACACAGAGAGAGAGAACCAAGTAGCTCAGCCCTTTCGCGCTAAGGACGGGACGGGACGGCCGCCGGAGGAAGCGAGAAAGGATGGCTAGCAGGAGAAAGGAAACCACTATTTATTTATTTATTTATTTAACTGCAATCAGTTCTGCCGAGATGGGCTGAGCTTTGACGGCCAATGTCAATAAATTTGAGCCCACTTTCCCGACGGCCCAAGATAACATAAAAGTGTTTTATTTATTTTCAACTCCTCCTTTCTTCTTCATCCCCTGGAAATCTGTGTAGATCGTAGCTCGTTTCTTCGAATTCTCTCCCTGTAAGGGAAAAATTAGTTAAGCAAAAAGTAAGAGTCTTTCGTTTGGGTTCTTTGATTTGGTGTAGTTAGGGAATGTGGGTCTTCCTTAGATATATTGATATTATTGAATTTTGGTTGCAGCAAAGAAATACCGAGCGATGGAGATGGAGATGGAGATGGAGTCATCTAGAGAGGAGACGCCTATTTTTCTGGACCGTTATGCTCGACCTACAAGAGGGAAAAGGTAACCTAAAGCGATTGAGTATGGCACCTCTTGTTAATTTTTGGACTCAGATTTCCTTGTCAGTGTAAGTAAGACATTAAGAAATGTTCCTGGTATATATATGCTGCCTATTACAGGATGACCAAGTTGCTTGATGAAGAAATTGAAGACGACGAGTTGTTCTGGAATCAGGATGCTTTTAAAGAGGTTGTTTGAACTTTGAACGCCCTGCTGTGTTTTTCCTTAGTGTACCCCATCCCCCCACCAAAAAAAAAAAAAAGAAAAAAAAATGAACATTTTGTCTCTCTTTGTTTGGCAGGAAGACAATGATGCCAATTACGTACAAGAGCCTGAGGTTGCTGATGAGTTTGATAGTGACTTTGATGAAGATGTGAGTACTTTCTGTTGTGTTGTTGCATTCATTTACTTCCTCAAACTCTTATTTTCTTTAAGACACGCTGGTTATTATTAAGAAGCCATATCTTCTAATTTAACTTACTCCTCCTCCTTTTGCTAGGAGTCTGAACCTGATGAGGAGGAAGCAGAAAATGAAGTAGATCAAAGGTCTGGCCTCTTTTATCTCAACTGGATAATATTTCAATTTCACACCTTTTTCATTGTTTAATTAAATATGCCTGCAGGGTTCGACCAAAGAGGCGACTAATTTTTCCAGGAAAAACTTTGCCAAAGAAAAAGAAGAAAAAGAAAGTCCTTTCAAAGTTAGATAGTTTCCCCAAGGATGACAAGCCCTCTGAAAAGTCGTCCTCTCCACAACATCGAGATGCCCCTGAGGAGACTGAAGGTGAGAGAACAGTCAGGAAGTCTACAAGGACTTCAGTCATTGTTAGGCAAGCAGAAAGAGATGCAATACGTGCGGCTTTGCAAGCAACAATGAAGGTTAGGTTTGGTTATTGGAGTTATTCTTGCTAAGATTGTGGCTTTAACAACTCAGTCACCATACCTGTAACATCATAGTTTCATCTACTTTTGTGTGTCTTTATTGTTAAATCAATCAGCCAATAAAAAGAAAAAAGGAAGGTGAAGAGAAGAGGATGACCCAAGAAGAGATGCTTCTGGAAGCAGCACAAACAGGTTTAGGCTGGATTCATCCTTTTGAATTTTTCAGGGTGCCTCATGTTTAATTTTGATTTGAACGTGTAAGCCTTTTCTTTTTGCAGAAATCATGAACTTGAGGAACTTAGAACGTGTGTTGGCAAGAGAGGAAGAAGTCAAGAAGAGAGCAATAGTGCATAAAGCTGTATACAGTGGCCCACAAATCCGATATTTGTCAAAAGATGGTAAGCATCCCTCCATGTCAATGGTTATGAATCTCAGTTCTTGAAGAAAGTGAAAAATAAATATATGAATGTTGATTATCACGGATTGGGTCCGGAAGTTAATTGAAGCTATTTTATGCTTACCTCATTGTTTTGCAGGTTGTTCGTATCTAGAATTTACAAAAGGCGTGTCATTTCAGTCTGAGATCTCAACCACATCTCTAGCATGTAAGTTTTGAGTCATCGTGAGTAGTTTGTCCATGAAAATGCTTGTGAGAGCTTCTGCTAAAATTGAGGACTTTTAATGGTCAACAACTTTTCTTCTGGCTTTTGTCTGATTTAAAGAGTAGTTCACTGATGCATCTTGTAGAACTGTAGAAGTAGACATAACACTTTTTCATTTCCCATTGAACTGGCCCCTTTTTTATTTTTTTCTCAAGATTTTTTTTTCAACTAACAATTATTTATTTACTTTTCTTCTTGCCATTCAGATCCAGAGAATGCTGTCTGTGTTGTTACTGGATTGCCTGCAAAGTAAGAACCTAATTTCATAATAGTTGTAACTTAGGCCTTTTTATAATCTTGCTGCAAGAGGTCAATTATTGCAGCCATATCATGAAGCTATGCTTCGCTGGTAGATTGGATGTAGATATTGTGGGCATTATAGTTGCCTTGTGTGGGACTTATCTGAAGATTTCTTGTGGTAGTTAGCAATGCATATTGGGGATGATATAATTTCAACATTTTTCTTATCAATCTGTGAAGGCATGTGAAACTGAAAGGCTTTGACTTCTAAGTTATAACTCAGGAATCTGGTCAATTTTGGTTAATTTGAAGCTGTCTTCTTCTTA